TCATGCTCATCAAAATTTGGAGGTGGCTACATCAGCCAAAGGTATGGAGATTTGTGTGTTTTGCTTCATCTATCGTTGGCCTTATCTGTTATGCTTTGAGCTCCTCTTTCAATCATTTACTTGGAAATTGGACCTGGTGGAAGTTACTTCTTTACATTATTTTCAGTTTTTTAATTTCCCTTTCCACCTTGTTTGGAAAGACATGGGAATACTCCAACTCTCGCTGTTTGGAAGCTCACACAGCATTTTCTGTTTTGCTTATCACTTCTGTATACTCCTTTTTCCTTGATAAAGATCTGAAACAGAAAGCAGATGCCTATAGTCTGCTTTCTTGTGTTGCTTTTGCTATCATGTCTCTAGGCTTGTCTAGGCTGAGTCAGTTAGGATTTGAGGTTGATCTCCTGTATTTTTTCTGTGGACTTCTGACGGTACAACTCATGAAAATAAAACAGTGGATAGTCACTGTTGGAGGAGCTTTCAGTTATTCCCTCATCATTCTTCGTTCCAATTTGGATCATCAACCAAGAAGTGGGTATCATGGACTTCAAAACCAAGAACATGTAGTAGTTGAAATTGGTTCTCATTCACAACCACAAGGAATCAGTAATAGTGTTACTCAAGTGGATTCAACCCGAACCATTATGGCTAGTTCACAACCTCATCCTGTCATTGATATGGTCTGGCCTTCAAGAGGAACAAGGCATAGTGCTTCTCTAGTAATTTCACCTCAAGAGGGTGGTTCTGGTGGTGGCCCTCCCGAAAACATTTATGGTACCGAGGAATGCTTCATGGGTTGTATAGAGGCTCTTAAGAAGGAGAATAGGAGAGTTATAAGAGCAATTTCCATGCATGTAAACAAATACCTTAAAGCCAGTGTTCTTAGTAAGAAGCAGATTTCAGTGCCAGAATTGCATGGCGACGACAACATGGTGGTGGATTCATTGTCGTCAGGAATGATCGGCAAGCTTCGTGAAAGTGTACAAAAGATGGTGTCAGACGGATTTGTGAAGGAATGCTTGCACGTGTACAGTAATTGGCGGAGGGAGTTTTTGAAAGAGAGTCTCCGGGAATTAGGGTTGCAAGATCAAGAGCTCAACAGGGAGGACATTAACAAGTCGGAGAAGATTGAGAGGTTGATAAAAGCTATGAAAATAACTGCGAGGATACTCTTTCCCAATGAAAAAAGACTCTTCATTCGTGTCTTTAGCGGCTCCATTCGCAATGGGGAGTTTCATTTCAGGGAACTTTGCACGGAATTGGTTACTGGTCTGCTGAACTCATCCCTTGCCTTGGCAACTTGGAGCCATTTCATGCGCAACACATTGCAGGAGTTGATACAAGATTTTTTATCATTTACATCAGGTAGAAATATTGTCGTGCCCCTGATAAGGCGGAGATTGTGCATTTATGAGGCTTTGGAAGATCTATCACTCATTCCCGGTGGCGGAATTCATCCTATTACCCACGCAGTGATGTACTATATTTATTCTATCAACAGAAATAGGGAAATTAGTAAACTTAACCAAGATTTGAAAGAGGGAAAGATTCCATCATCTGTGCACATGGCTAGGGTGAGAATTCTGTTAGAGAGTAAGTCCAAATATGGTAATAAGCTTACACTGATGTACTACATTAAATCTCTAAATCGGGAGAGTAAATTTGGACAAGGTTTAGAAGATGAAATGCTTTCACCTGTTTACCTGGACAGGATGACAGAGCTTTTAGAGAGCTGTTTGGTAGCCAACTCAAAAAATTTCAAAAACCCTTCTTTGGGTCATGTTTTCATCATGAATAATCGGAGATTCATAGAAGTAGAGACAAAACTACATGGACTGGGACCTTTTTTTGGAGATGACTGGCTCCACAAAAACACAACAAAGATCCAAGAAAACCGTGAGTTCTATCTTAGAAGCTCATGGAATAAGATTGTGGACCTTTTGAAGGTAGACATCAATCAACTAGAGACTAGTGTTGTAGCCGAGGTGATGAAAGACAACCTTTATTGGTTCAACGAACTCTTTGATGAGGCATGCAACATTCAGTCTGCATGGTCTGTCAGTGATGAGGAGCTAAGGGAACAAATAATAGAATCCATAGAAAACATGCTGTTGCCAGCATATGGAAGTTTCCTTGGTACATTTGAGGAATTTGTTGGGAAGCATGCTTATATATACATTAAGTACGGAATGTTTGAGGTTCAAGATCGACTCAGCAAATTGTTTCTTTTAAGGGAGTAGATGAATCTGTTGCTGAAAGAGAAGGAATGGTTAAGGGAGCTTAGCTTTAGAGAACAAAAGTTTTATTATCTCAAAGTTCCAAAGGATATGTGCCCTGTATACCACTGTATGTTTCAATACAATCACAAATGTGTTTCCTTTCTTATTTTGTTTCCATGGTTTAGATTGGCTTGGTTCAAATTCAAGTTTGGATATTTCACAATTCTATGCCTTAAAAGAAGGAAATAATACCTAAGTTTGGGTAGATTTAGAAAACAGGCTTAACCTATCTGTGGATACTTTGCTTTATGTCAACTGTCATTCGTCTTATGTTGTGCAATGAGTTTTTGGTTTTTTAAATACTTACGTACACCGTTTCAATTTTTTTTGTTGTGCACATGAAAGGGAGGCAGATATTTAGTAGTTTTATATTAATCAATTTCTATAGTCTATCAAATTCAAGGTCTTGAAATACATGCTGATATATTGAAAGTCGTTTCAGAAGGAGTTGATCGCAGTTTAGAAACTATGTTACTGTAATCACTGACAAATGAAAAATAAACAACCAAAATATTGCAAGAGTATTCCGAGTCCTTTAAATGTCAATTTAAAATTTATTTTTCAAAAAGAAAACATGCATGCTTTCACCACATTTCAGCATATCATAGTTAGCATGCTTGATCATGTATCAAGTTTCATCATTCCATAATACTAGTGTTCCCCGAGTGCACATAAACAGTTTTAGAAATTGGAAAATTAGATCCACAACTATAATTAGATAATGTAGTGAGCATAGCTCACAAAAAATACTGATATCTATTGAAGTTTTGTTATGCTTTTATTATTGTATATTTTCTATTTATATTTAATATATAATTTAAAAATAAGAAATTAATTTGTACCAAAATATGTATTATTGTTTAAGAATTATTTTGAATAAATAAATTTGAATCTTTAAAATAGTCAAAATTGTAATACTCCAAATTAGCATAACCACAATACTAATTTAGCATATTCTAAGTTAGGTATTAAGCATAAACAACACAAAACTTATATATTTTATTTACAATCCTATACGTAAAAGTTAAATTGCAAAGATTAAAACTTCTTCTAACTAGGAGGAATATAATAATGCAGTCACATTTACTTATGAAGCTACGACGCTCCATCTTACAAATCTTCTAAGTAATCTCATGCTACCGATCATTCTCACATGTATCCTCATCTGTTTCACGTAGGTCATACCGAATACGTATGAAGTTTTGCATTTACCATGAAGTTTCTCTATAGTGGCTTAAAGCAAAAGAACTGTTGTGTCTCTACTTGGTACAAATATAGAAGATTAGAGAAAAAAGAATTGTTGTGACTCCATCTGACACACATCTATCTAACAAGGTTACACTATAACATCGCTAGAATGGTTCCAATAGGAATTTCAACTCTCACCATCTAAACTTCATTCTCTATATGAGTTTATTAGTTTAGTAGAGTTAAGATTACTTCAATTAAGACTTTCACCATACCCTAATGTTAAACAATATGACAATTCTTTTTATAATTTAAGCACATTCATGCAATACAAAAGTTAACCATGCTATTTAATCACAATGTCAAGCTAACATTAAAAAAATAATCACCATCATATATTAGAAATTCATTTTTCCCTTTTCATTCATACATTTCACATGATAACGTCAATGGATCACATTTTTCAAATAATCTTTAACAATCACACCATGTTATACATATTTATTTTACCTCAATCTAAATTCATCATATATTATCAATCACATATTATTTATTTCAATTGAAATGTTAATAGTTCATCATTTATTTTCTAGTACATTAACATAATATTCAATTACAATATTTTCATTATATAAAAATAATGAGATGTATTATTCTAATCACGGACCTCAAACTCACAATCCCAAGATCCATATTTCAATAATTATTTATCAAAATTTCAGCTTAATCCAACAATTAATGAAATAGGAATCAAAATTTTACCAACACAACTCAAACACAAAACAAAGTTTGTCATAAAAGGTAAAAATTAACATTCTCAATTTTCAATCATGCATATAAAGAATAAGAAAAGAGCACAGTCTCACATGAAAACTTTATATGACATAGATAAAATCACGTAGAATTGAGTTACATTACTTTCGATCCTAATAAACGAGGGAGTTACTCATACACATTAATTAGGAGCCCAAAAATGATACAAGAAAGTCGAATGAATGAACGAAGTTCTTGAAGATATACCCTTGTTTTGTCTTTGGATGAGTTCTTTCTTCCAAAACTATTCGTCCAAGACTCACTTTTGAACAATTATTAATCTTATTACTGGAAGTGGAAGAGAGGTAACTTTTGCATCAAAACCAACTACCTCTATGTGTTGAGTGAATAATTTTCTTACTATAGACAAGTCTAGGACTGGGCATAATTAGCTTAACTGTACTAAACTGTATCTATACTAAAAAAACTAAACTATTTTTATTAAAAACTAAATTATATTGTTTTGCAGTTCAATTTAAAAAACTGAACTTTTATATCATCAGTTAACTGCTTCAGTTAACCAGTTAACTGCTTCAAACTGTAAAACAACTAAAGCAAACTGCAATTTCACCAAAGAACTCTCATTTCTAAAATTATTGAGTCCTTTTCACTACTATAATCTTTCCTTGAATCCGAGACAAAAATATTTACAACATTTTTTAGAACAAACAAAGCTACTGATGCTTAGAATTTAGAATCAAACGCAATTCTCAAGACTCCTTTCTTGCTTCTGTTAGAAAAAAAGTTTTCTAAAAAAAAAGTAATATAATCTTTCATTTCAAGTTTCTTATCCATCAGGCGACACCCGGATTTGAACTGGGGAAAAAGGATTTGCAGTCCCCCGCCTTACCACTCGGCCATGCCGCCAATAAAAATCTAGATATGAAGTTTTTGACATCACAGACATACAATAAAACTACCTATTATTGCTTGCTTTATAATACTAAAAACTTAAATAAAATTTAATTGCATAAGTTACATCAAAAAAATTGATCAGAAAAACCTTAATCAAAATCTATCCATTTATAAATTGCAATAATATAATACTTTTCAGTAAAAGTAAATACTTAAATGAAAAATAATAATAAATTAATATGATATATAATTATGAAAAGTATGATATACAAATATAAATTAATACAAATGTCTAAGTTAAATGTTTTATGAGAAAAAAATAATTCATACTAATTTGTAAATAGTATCAAATGTGTCTTTTCTTTTTTGTCTTAAAATTATTTCAAAATAAGTTTTAAAAATTAATTTAAATTCTTAAAGTATTTTTTGTTAAACTAACACTTAAAATTGTAATTTTAGAAATTTAATTTAGGATAATTCAAAAACACTTTTCAATAACTTTTATTTAATAAGTAAACAAATAGTTCATTTATTTGAATTATGATAAAAATGTATTTTCCTTATGTTTGCGTGAAATCGTAATTTGTTTTGATCACTTTGTAAAGTTCATTTATTTGAAACAATTAACTAGTTAACTGAAATTCAGTTTAAAAACTGAACTAGAAAGTAATATAACACAGTTTTTAATAAAAACAGTATATAATTTATAGTTAAGTACGGTTAGATTAATCATGTCCAACCTAGTTTTATCCGTTGGACAAAGGAAGACTGGCTGGATGAGCTAAGATGATTCTCGTTTGGCGATAAAGCTTTTAACTAAACGAGATACATCTCGAAAACTACCTCCATATTCCTCAAACTTCCGATCTAAAAATATTCAACCAAAAGTTAATAAAATTGTTTGCATTTAGTCTCACAAGTTAGTCGGCCTAACTTACCAGAATAAGTTTTAATTTTCTTTTCTAAGCTCAAAACAAATAAAAATTAACAATAAGTGTTTTTATAATTAAAATAATTGTTGATTTTTAGTTTTCACCCATTATTAGAATTTTTCACCAAGGATATGTCCTTCAATTTTCTTACAAAAATTTGCAAGAAGGTGTTTTTTGTAATTTTTTCTACAAATTTTTATTGATGGATAATTCCTTCATGAGTAATTAGTCATCGTAGAAATTAAAAATCCTAAGAAATTTTTTTGCAAAATGTTTTATGGAAATATCTGCAGCAAATAATCCTGCCAAAAATTTTCACATAATTTTTCTTACCAAAAAATCAATTTAAAAACCAGCAAGTAATTTTTCCTGTAAATTTAATTTTGCAAATAATTTTCTTACAAAAAAAATTCCCAACTAATCTTTCTTCCTAAATTGAATTTGTAAGAATATCTTTTCACCAATATTTTTTGCAAGAACTTTCTATAATAAATTGGAAAATATATATAATTACTCTTCAAAACCTAGCATTGTTATTTTAATATTTATATATTTTTAATTATAACTTTATCTAAATTTAAATTCTATATATATTGATATGTTTTATATTTTATATTTTAATTAAATAAACTATTTCTTAGTAATACCTTAAGTGAATATAATAGATTTAAAATTAAATTGAACTATAATAGAAAGGAAACAAATCATACAAATTTAAAACCATAAAAAATTATGAAAATAAAAATATGAATTAATTAAAAAAATTATTTAGGTTATTATTTTTGTAGTCTTACTTTGGCCAGTATTTTTTTCTCATGCTTGATTGAAACCAAACAATAACAATGTACTAGAGTGTGAGACAGATAATTAAAACGTGCAACAAGTTATGTCAATGTCAATTAGGATGAAAAAAAAAATAGTAGATTATTATAAAGGTATTTCAACCGACAACAAACAAATATTTGTTCACAGATATTATTCATTTTCTATCAAAATATTAAAAAAAACACTATTCAATTTGCCTCTAAGACTTGCTGCCACAGGTCCACATAGTTTCTCAGTTATTTCCTCGGCCCACAAAAGACAAAAGGTAAAGAAAATTATCAAGCTTTGATAACAGGAAAAAAAAAAACAATTGATAACCATTTACACATTAATATAGACGAGAGGCACATTCAACATTTCCTGC